ATGGCTGTTGTTGTTGTTGTTGTTGTTGAGGAGGAGGAGGATAATGTAGATGTTGGCCTGCTGGTGGTGGTGCTTGCCCAGGTGCTGGTGCAGCTGGGTACTGTCCCGGCGGAGGATAATATCCCTGAAGAAAATATTGTCCTTGGAGGGGCGCCTGGCCTTGCGGGGGAACCTGACCGGGAGGGGCTGCATTATATTGCCACGGAGCACCAGGAGGGGCTTGGCCGTAAGGAGGGTAGCCATAGCCAGCAGGAGTCTGCTGCTGCTGAGGGACACCTAGATGATTGTAAGGTCAATTTATGATCTGATGTGGTTCTAGGAATTAGAGAGGGGAGTCTTTTTGCGATTTTGAAGGATATAATTCCAGCGATCTTGGATTGCCAGGAACCGCTTTCTCTGATTATCTTCGCAATATGATGTATGAAATATGAGAATAGGATACACACCTGCTGGCGGGTTCTGCTGCTGCGATGGATCCATCGCAACTTATTGTAAAACAGAAGGTTGCAATATATTGACTGACGGAGGGGTATCTGTAGAGTTCACGTACAATGTAGAATCAGTCAGTGAGCTGCAAAAGGAATGGCAATGGTAGTTGAACAGTTTTCAGCAGATTTCTCCAGAGTTGTAGTTAAAGGATGGCTTTAATATAAAATTACTTTTCCTGGAGATTTTGTCTCCTTATAACATTGAGGGGATCTCTCCGGCACATTACCGGCCGCCAAAGCCCCAATTCATCCTCCATTTCACAAAGAATTCTTAGGCTTAAGCGCCAAGCTGTCAACCATCATCGCCTTCCCTCCCTTTCCACGCTCAAATGGATAGGCATGTTGGAGGGGCAGAAGCGTGGCCATTGGCTGTGAGGATCGGGGCAGTGTTTTGATTAACTTTCATGCTTGTGAGAGCGCCTCATCCAAGACGATTGGGCTGACAATAGAAGCTGGATCTCTCCGCTTAGGGAACTAGCTGTGGCTGGGGGGGGAATGCATGCTTCAATGTGTGATTGGGGCGAGGGATTCAGCGCTAACAAGTGAAATTCTTCCAATTTCCGGTCTTAGGGGTTCGTTTCGAGTTGAACTAAGGATTTGGCTGTGGCGCGAGGCGGGCGGGAATGCCCTCAACAAAGAGATTTTGGGATGATTTAGTGTATGAATGCTTTCAGCCAGGGAGAGTAAGGCTGATTTCGATCTGAGTATAGAGTTCCCGAGTATCTATATTGGGATCTGTTGTTGAACCAGATAGGTGAGCCACATATTTTGTTGAGCAAACAAAGAACTATCCGCAAGCACACCTTCATATCTCATTTTCGGGCCTGAAAGATTGATGAAGCGTGGGCAGATAGTATGTACAGTACGGATTGAGGGCCGGCTATCCACCATCCGCTTCTCAAGGATGCTCGAAATAGTATTAAAAAGCAAGCCAAAGCGCATGAAGATTAAACCAGACGGAAGACAAAAAACATATATACACATATCAGTCCAACATACTACGATCTAAACAGTTTCTTCAGTTTCCTCTCCCGCCTTGACAAACACCATATTCAACTCCTGCCCTGGACTCAGGGTAACATCGAACTTGAACTCAGGATCCTGGCCCACAGGCGGCGCATTCACCGCATTAATTTCACTATACTGCTGCAAGATCCTTGAAACAGTATATCCCATTTCCAGCATGGCAAATTGCTGTCCCAAGCAGATGCGAGGACCGCCGTTGAAGGGAATGAAATGCCATGGCTTGGGCTGCCAACCAGAAACCCATCTCTCGGGGATGAAGATCGAGGGGTCAAGATATGGGATGGGCTGTTTCTCGTCGCTGCCAGCGCTGCCTGGTGCTGATGGCGGCGGATCGTATAGGTCTCTCCGCCGCTGCATGTTCATAGTCGAATAGATGATCCGCGTGTTGTTGGGGACACCGATGGGGGAGCGACCATCGTGGCCGCCCCCCCGTGGCAGGGTGGTGTCTGTCAGGGAATGGCGGACATTGAAAGGCACGACGGGATACAGGCGCATTGTCTCATTGAGTACGGCTGTCAGATACTTCATCTCCTTGAGGTCTGAGTAGCTCGGTTTGCGGGTGGTCCCAAGCCGGTTGAGGATTTCCGTGCGCAGTCTGGCGACCACAGATGGACTGCGGGAGAGCTCGAAGAGGCAAAAGGCGAGGGTTGCGGCGGTGGTGTCCCGGCCTGCGAGCAGGACGGCAACGAGTTGGTCACGGATGACTTTAGGGTCCTTGGTAAAGCGAGCTAGGGCGTGCAGGAAGGTTTCTTGTTTGGACAGTTTCTTGTCGAGTTCTTCGGTATTGAGGCTGAGAACTTCGTCGATGAACGGCTGCATGAAGTCATCCATTCTCTTGAGATTAACGCGGAATTCCTTGCGCGACATCAGGAAGGCGAATGGGCTAAGGGGTTATTTTGTAAGCTAACTAGGATGTCAAATTGCTCTCCACCCCTTTTTAATTTTTTTTTTTTAATTGTTTTTATTTATTTTTGACTGTAATTCGTGGAATATCAAAGTGTATTCGCACTTACCCAGTTTTGAAAATTTCTGACTGACGATGAAGTACAAATTGGAATGCCTCCGCGAAGGTCGTTTTCGGGTCATTCAAGCTGTCAACGCTCTGACCGAGGAGATAAGCTGTGGCAGCATCGAGGGTAAAGCGGAAGAACAGAGGCCCTACATCGACCACCCTGCCCTTCCCAGGCATATTATTTTTTCCTGCCAAGAAGGGAATGAGTTTCTGGATATGCTTTTCGAAGATTTCGGTGTCAACAATACGGTCTCGTGCGAACATGGGGCGGATGAGATGGCGCGATCGAGACCACAGCTCTCCGTCCGTGGCAAAGATACTATCGCCCAGGAACTCTTTCCATTCAGCATGGAAGCGTTCGCCTTTACCGTAGTCGGCAAATTGGCCCGTGAGGACTGCCTTGATGTTGTCTGGATCGACGGTGTAGATAGCACGCAAACTGGAGTGTGTGTTGATCTCCACAGTAGCGGAACTATCGCCATTGGGTAAAGGCACGGCGGCCAGAGTATCCACCCAAAATTTAAGGTCCTCTTTCTTTGATGATGATTTTAGGGTTTTGTAAATGAAATCCATGCCTGCGGTATTTTTTAATATGTTCAATTAGCACACTATTATCACCTTCCTAATGTACGTACGTATGCCACTGGCTTCCGCTCCAACATCAGCTCCCTCCCCTGTGGCATCACCATTTCTTATTTCCTTCCCATATTGCAATCGTCTCCAACAATTTTCAGCGCATATGGAATATACAACAACTTCAGGACCTGAAAAGCAAGCTAAAAAACCAGGGGTAATAACTGACCTAATGGCAAATATGTCTGAATAATAGGGGCGCGAGAACCCAAGCGACTCACTCTGCGATCGAGCTGAATTCCACGAAGCCATGATGCAATGACCACCAAGCCCAATAACCCCAGGATAGCTCTGATTGGGGTCAAGTTTGCGATAAGTTCTTCGACAATCATTGTTGGGGCGTATGGAGTTTGGGGGGGTTCAATATATTCCTCCCGTTGAACTGTACCTCGGTAAGTGTAGGACGTTTTCATGAAATGTATTTGATATGGATATTAAAATGCCGTTATGTACACCCCCCACTATCAGATCTTATGGGAACTCCGGGGTATTACTCCCTCAGTCTAATGTGGTGTGGGTTGGATCAACTCTGGAGGGAAGTGGACAGAATTTCACTGATCAGATATTATGTCTGGCAACCATGCCAGGAGGTCGAAGTCGTGCCAGCCGAATTTGATAATTAACAATGCGCAGAACCAAGTTTTACAAAAAAAAAAATTATGAAAGAAATATAAAGAGGAGAAACGGAAATGGGATATTAATAAATAAAGGTCATTCACGGCAAGTCATTATACATTTCCCAGAAAGGCGAAAGAAGACGATTCTCACACCGCGGAGGAGCTTTGGAGGCGATTTGGCCTGAACCTCTCCACACTTTACATCACTGACTTCACGGGGAAATCAAAAGCGGGCGAAAGTAATGCCTTATTACTAACAGGCGTATCATTTTGGCCGGATGGGACGTAGTTCCGGCCAAGCGATGTCTTCCACTTTCTGCACCCATTATTTCCCCACCTATCCCCTCCTTTTCTGCCTCGTTAGTAGCACCGTGAACCGGCGTATTCGTATTCATGGTATCTCTAGGGTAGATGCAAAATGGGTTACTCAACCCTTTGGAATGCTCTTGATATCTCACCTGTTTTCAGTTTCCACATGCGTTGGCTGATGTTGGCTCCATCCTGTTAAAATCACATGAAAAATGCAACCCTAATTATTGGGTAAGTTTAAGTTGTGACGTATGGGCATTCAACCACTCTCCATTGCATGCGGTCGTGCAATTTTAGGCTGACTCTTTGAGTTCTTCTGGGGCATGTTTATGCTCAATTGAAGGTTTCCCATGGGGTCGCAAACAGTGAGATGTGAAATACTTTCGGCATGACTCCTTGCTCAAGTCTCAATTCAAGGTCGAAAGAGTTATCGTCGCACAACTAAATCGTGTCTCCCATGGTACAAAATCTTGCCATTTGATGGAGAGAAGCCATAATACAATATGTGAATTTCAGTGGTGGCTATTGTGTTTATCGTTAGTCAGAGTTTGAGGATTTGCCTTTGGCTGAATCTATCATCAGAGCCAGTAGCAAGAGGATAATTTCTTCTCTGGAAGCGTCATGTGTAGCTATTTAAATCCTGCAGTTGTTGGTATTAACTACATGCGCAATGGATTTGCATGTGTTGAAAGTACCGATCGAATTATTCTCGAATCATATGAAAGAAAGAAAAGCAGAGAGTCCAGAGATGATATGAACTCCACCCTTGCTTACATAAAATGAACTAAGATATGACCAAGGATAGCCGCATCGTCACCAACAATATCGATTGTAGATTCCGGATCTCTTAAGGTGAGCAGATTGGCTTCAACTGGGCGCGAAACCCCTTCATACCTTCTCACCACGATTAATCCTCCTTGTTCTTGAATAAAAGAATAATAAATGTCTGACGTCGTCTAAGAGTGGTCACGAGAATTATCTCTTTTTTTGCAAACCGCCCCCTCCCCCACCGATTCGGGAAACGGAGTCATTTATGACACCGATCCCAAATATGCGAAATTCACAAATGGCTGATCGGGTCTGGCTTGGTGCTCCCCAAGACTCTTCAACGCTAAATTACATAGTCAATGCAGCCCGAGACGCGCTTGTTTAGGGTTCCCCGCAAAAATGGATGTGCACAACAGGGCGATTGGATCGTGAGTTGAAAACTTAGGGATTAAAGTGGAAATTGATTTGTTTGCGACCTCGGTAACTATGAGATGAAGATTGAAAGTGTTGATGGGGGTGCTTCTGTGTGGGTGGGTTTGAGGGGAAGGTGTCCAGATGATAGACGCCATGACGACAGTGATTGCATGTAATAATAGTCAATGGGAGGCATATGGTTTTGCATGAAGGGTACAGATTGTATCGTTGTGATTATCCTACAGCACTTTTTGAGCTCTGGTCACTCTGCTGGGCAAATTCAGATACTGTGTCACCATCTAATGGCACCAAAGGAGTCAATTCTTTTCATTCCCACGTTGAAATAGGGGGCTCTGCCACTACGTCAAAATTATGACTAGGAACTTGGATAACGGCGGAGAATTGATTTGTTGATCAAGTACGTAGGTATTAATATATTCGCCCACAGAATCGACATCCCTTCGGACATCAACATCAAAGAGCAGAACTGGGGACAAAACTCGCAGCCACTTCCTACAGCTCGCAGCTCCCTTCCCTCATGAGACAATACGTTAATTGGGCTAGGCTAGCCCTGACGCCCACATCAATCACAGCACGCTCACGCCATTCGCTAAGTCGGAATGAAGCATCATGTATCTGATCAGCGGTTCGTGGACCGCTCCAAAGAACCTCCGCGGCTGCAGCCGCACGTGGCCAGATCAAACTGTCAAGGATTACCGGGTCAACATTCTCTGACCACATATGTGCCTCGCCCCCTTCAACCAGGTGGTGCAGTTTCCCCGGAATACCTTCAAGAGGGTTATAGATGTACATGTGTTTCCAGTTTTTATATGGGCTGCACCAGTCGACGAATGGATCTTTTACTGAGACAGAGCCGCGTTTAGGATTTATGTAGGTGCCATGTCCGCAGTCGAGGTACCAGGCGTCGCCCGAGCCGAAAATCGTGCGGTACCCACGATCCAGTAACAGCTTGACGGCGGAGGAGTTTCGCCACGCTTGCACAATAACGTCGGTTTTTTCGGTAGAGGAGGTAGATAGCGATAGTTCCCAGTCAGTTACGAGTTCCTCCCATACTATGGGTGTGAGGCCAGCTTTACGTATCGCGTCGTGGAGACGTGTCACAACAGCTTGAAGCAAAGGTTTTAGGACGTCTCTGTTGTTCGATCGGACTGTTTCTTCGAGGAGGTACGTATTAAGGTTGAACTCGTCGCCGCCTGTATGAAAGTAGCCAGTAAATGGCGAGACGCGAGGAAGTATATCCGCCATCAACTTATCCAAAAATTCATTCACGCCAGAAGAATTCAACTTGATTTGCCCACTGGGAGGTTGGAGTGCATACTCTTGCCACTTATCAGCTAGAAATGCGGAAACTAGCTCCGGGAAGGCATATCCGATTGATCCTGTGTGGCCTGGCATATCTATCTCAAGAAATACGGACACCCCACGTTCCAAGCCATACATCTGGACATCTGAGAGGTTAGAAGATGTCCAGATCAGGTCTGCATGATACGCTCCTTTCGCTGCCAACGAGGGTAGTGCGGGGATATCCAATGGCCATGACTGAGAGTCTGTTGCATGGATATGAAGGCGGTTCATTTTGGCAGAAGCCATGGCGTCAATGGTTCGTTTGATATCCGCTGACGTGTATGCATTTCTGGATATATCAATGTTGATGCCGCGATGCGCCCATTTCGGGGCGTCCGATATTGAAATTGGTGCAAAGGGTGTATACACACCGGGTCCGGAAGAATGTACATAGAAGAGCTGTCTAAAGGTTTGAAGTGCACGGATAGTCCCGATAGCTGTCTTGGTCGAAATTGTTGCTTCCCCGGTAGCGGAAATTTCAATCTTGTAGCTCTCTTCTTCGTGGACGAAATCGCGAATCTTCGCTTCCGATTGATACGTAGAGGCTTGCTTGATGATTACTTGGCGGATAACTGCATCACGCCCGTCCAACGCAGGTTCAAAAGAGCTATTTCGCGGATGGAATTTCCAGGGAACGAATTTGGAGCTAAATATCTCTGCTCCCGTCCGCTTTATAGCCTTTTTCACTATTTTGGAAACACTCGGAATGAGTTTCTCTCTAGTCTTGTTCTTCATCAACCAGGATGTTTGGAAGAAATCGAAGATTTCCTCCAAATCTATGTACGTAGAGATAATATTTTTTTTCTCAGCACCGCCGTCTGCAACAGTAGGCTGGAAGGAGAATTCCACAGACGAGGCCAGCCAAACAGTTGTGTTGCCATGGTTGAACTCCTGCGGCAGAGGCCATAAAGCCAGACACAACGAGACTAAACTGAGCAAAGTGACCTCAGAGAGCAGCATTGTGAGTTTCCTATAGGATGTTGAAGTAGGGGATGCCGGGCGATAAAGTGAAATAGGACTGGAAGAGTAGCATGCGGATGAATGGCTTGGGCAGTCACCGATGATGGTCCCTTGGAACTCAGCTCAAATTGGCTTTCCCAAGTAGGAAGTGCTGGAGTATAATTTTCACAAAGTGAAACTACCACATCCCATCTGACGGCTGTTGGTCGAGAAACGATGGAACAGAAGCCTGATAGTTTCACTCTTAGTTACCAGGTGTTTCAACCGCGCTGTAGACAATAGTTCAGCTCTGATAGAACACTGAATTTGAGTTGTTTTTAAAGAATTTAACATTGATGCATTGTCATCAAGGGAAGTTAAAGAGGATCTCCATCAATTCTGGCTTTCCTTGCATCCGTAGCAGCATGCCTCTTTTGGGTTGGTGAAAACTCGTTGGCAGGGTGAATGCAGCGTAGGCTCTGCAACCCAATGGAATACCTCAACCTACATAAATAGTTCCTCACATAATGCGTTGCAATTCGATTGAAGGATACAACTAGAAAATAGGAAAAAGAGTGGAATGAAATTAAACATAAAACAGGATGCTTGAATGACAGGTATTGTATGTCAAGTATGGAAGTTTTGAATGTTCAACTGAAGAGCCCCTTTGAGATCTTTGTTTTGTCATTTCCCAAGTCCAGTTGAGGGCTCAACCTTCAGGGCGGATAATGTTACTGTGACAGAATGGCAAGCTTGATTCATTGCAAAGGTTGCTAACTAACGAGGAACGAACTAGTTAGTTAGATATAGTTACGGTGGAAAGTAAGTCACATGACAGAAAGTCCGACGCATATTTTTGTGTATTACACTATCCCCTCGCCCGTAAATGTGAATTAGCGTGTTTTCAGTTGCTGTAAAACATGAACCAAGGAATTATTGGACATTATACTTTTTATGAGTAATCTATTGGCTCATTCATACCTACCTGGAACCTTATTTCTTCACCACATGAAACGCGTGTAGGGATGAACGTTGTTCTTAGCTTTTACCAAGCTCTTTACCTGCTAACCCATGGAATCCCTATCCGTCTAAACCACCCAGACAGCATGGAATTCATGAAGGAAGAAGCTCCTATCAAGGAAAGAAGCAGGTAAATCCCTAGTCTCTGTTAATAGAATGTAAATTCATTTCACTGACTAGGTCAATTAGGCCCTTCTAAAACCCCTCAATAACGCAAGCGGAAGATGGAAGAAGTCATAGCTGATATACCACCTTTTGAAAGCAGTTAAATGGACTCCTATGAAGCCTATATACCGAGTTCCTACTCTCAATCTACCCACTGATCTTGATATCAAGAGCCCCTATGCTCTGTTCAGTCTATGCATCTCAGAGAAAGACTTTCAAGCTATCTCCAATTCAACCAATGCCTACACCCGAAATCAAATGGAAAAGGAGCTAGATAAACATGCTAGATACTGGAAATCAACTTCTGCTGCTGAGATCAAGGTCTTCTTTGGCATATAAACCTATATGGGAGTACATGATTCTCAGAGAATTGATCTCTATTGGAGGAATGATATTGAGCAAGGACCTACCCGTTCGCCTCAATTCCATATGCCATTATATAGATTTTAGCAGCTTAAGAGGTATATTCATATATCTGGCCCTCAACAGTCTCAAAAAGGAAAGGGATGATGGTATAAGCTTGAATCTTTGATCTCTAGCTTTCATACTGCTTGTAGGAGTTACTATACTCCTGGTTTCAATCTTTCTTTGGACGAGATAATGATTCTCATCTTTGGTAGAAGCCTACACACCTATAAAATGCCTAATAAGCCTATGAAACAGGGTTGTTAGGTATTTGGCTTAGGTGAATGAACAGGGTTATCTTTGGACTTTTCCCTGGTCTAGTCACCAGTTGAGCATTGAAAAAAAAAAAAAAAAGCTCAAATATCCTTTTCCAAGCAAGACTGGATCTATGGCGGTGAATATGATTGAACAGCTTCCTAAGCTATCAGGGGTATCTGCAGGAAATCCCCTCCTTGGCTCTATGGTGAATCCTAGGGTCAGCTCAGCGGGGGATTCAAGTTGATATCTAGGGGGAATTACCAACCTGACATTCAACCTCCTGTTCAACTAGCTATTCAGCCCACTGAGGAATCAATCAGCAAGGAGGTCCCATACTATTCAATTAATATGGACAACTACTTACCTCTGTTCCTCTATTCAAGCACCTTCATAAGCAGGGCTATGGAGTCTGTGGAACTACTAGACTCAAAGCAGCTACCCCCCCCCCCCCCCCCCCCCCCCTTGGGGTAGGGGAAAAAAAGGAACTTCTATTTTGGGGAAAAAGTCGGGAAAAACCTTTGTGGCAAACCCAAAAAAAAA